TTAATACAACATAATGAAGAAAAAAGATTCATAAAGCCGACCTCACATGAGAGATTATTCTGTGCAGACGCTAAATACAGCTGTATGTCCAGATGCCGCGGTACAGTAAAAGGGTGATGTGGCACATTTTTATTGATCTCCGGACCGTGTTCGACGTTCTCACAGAATAATTTTTCCACATAATGGTATGAAAGTTTATTATTGTTGTTGGTCATGTCGGAGTGGGCCGCGCATGTGCAATGGTGCTATTGGAGAACAAACGGTGATAGAATATGTAAATAGGAAGTCTTAGATGACAAATATGTAATACCAAATAGTCTTCAAGATTAAAATTTAAGAAAAGAAGATAAATTAGCATTAGTAGGATTGATTACATAAATCCAAAATCCATTAACACTACTTACAACCCAAAAGCCCCAACTTTTTCATTCTAACATTAGTTTAAACTCCCTCTAGAGTGAGCTGATGGGGTTCTTCTGTAGTTTTATTGAACTGCATTAATTTCCCTGAAAGTATTCTCATAAACTCCCCAAAAAGCATTTCCCCCTAACAAGAACATCTCTGAAGCACAGCCTACATTGTCAGCTCTACTCAACATTTTTAGTCTTCTTGTCCTCTTCATTCTCTGTAGCTCATTTTGTTCTCTAAGAAGGTGGGAAGAAGCGATTAAGATTAAAAGGTAGAGTGTAGAATTCTTCATTTCTACTATCTCCCTTGAATGTTCTGAATCTGACCCACCATGGCATTCCTCTATCTCTAGCTGTGTCCTTGAAGTCAAGTGTGTTGTCAAGAAACACAGAAACAATCAGAGCAACTGTTGCTGGAGAAGAGAATATGGTGTTGATGTAGTCATTAAACTGCAATTAATTGTTTCAACCCATGATTAGTAATAATTCTCAACAACCAGAAGTTTAAGGTTTTGTTTGGGACAACTTTCTTACTGCTTTCTAAAATGACTTTTTATACTAAAAAGTTGTTTTAGAAAGCAGCAAAAAAACTGTCCCAAACGAAACCTAAGTGACAGTATAAAGAGATTTAAACTCCTTTATGCCATGCTAATTAATCTTTTAATGAAAAACATGTTTAATGTTTTAGAAACTCTGATCAGATTGAATCAGGTGGAAAATTCAATATGTTAGAAAGTGATGGTTTTATTTTTGTTTAGGATGCAAAGATTTTATTTGTATGCATTTTGCATGTGAAAACAAAATCATTACATCTAACAAGCCCTGATGTTAGTAATATTGAAGATTAGAGAGGCATATATTAGTTAAGTCATAATGTACCCATTCTGTCTTGGTGTGAGCTGGACCGCGATTTGCACTCTCTGTATAGCTGAAGAAGTACTCAGGGATTGACAGGCCAAGGAATATGGATACACCGACGATGAAGAGATTGCGCATGGAATTCATGTTGGTGAACTGCAAGAAGGAGAGACCCACAGCCGCTGAGACAAAGAAAGCAAATATTATTTATTGTTAGGCAACAAAACTAAGAGTTTGATGAGTGATGAAAAAATGGAGGAAAGAAACCCACCAACTAATCCAAAAAGAATGCAATAAACCGCAGCGAAGATGGTGAAAGGAATGGAGGCAAATAGTGCTCCAAACTTCCCTGGTAATGAACAGTAGAAAGTGCAAGATTAAGAAAACAAAGTAGTTTCTTTAAGGAGAACGTTATTGATTTTGATTCTAGTTTTTTTTGTAACATAAAGACATACCCAAGATGGAGAAGAATATCATGAAACCAGCAGATATCTGTATCACCCTTCGGCTACCCACCCTTGTGCTTCCTAGAAGTCCCACATTCTCCCTGTGACCTCTTTCTTTTAACATGTTAGTTCTTCTATTTTAACAAAATGAATGCTTTTTCAAGCAAGAAAATGCCTTTACCACACCAAAGAAACTCTCAAAAGTTAGCTGAAAAGAATTATTTGACTTTTTCATATTTCAAAAGATCAAAATAAAAAATGCAAAGGTCATCTTATTCAATAACATCTCTTCTCTCCCACTTCACGCCTCGGATCTAGAGAGAAAGACGTTTTCACATCTTCTTAACCCGAAATGGCTAAGGAGAGGAAAGGTTCCTTAATGAAGTTACTCCCGAGGATTCATAAAAGAAAGTGGAGACGGTCAAAACTTTTATCATGTATATTGCACATTGACCTATATTACCTTTTCTGAGATGTTCTTTTAGTACAAGGAGCACGAAGTAGAAAGAGGTAGGAGTTTTCTCTCTCCATCTTTTTCTCTATTTCTCTAGTTACATCAACTTTTAAATTTGTACTATGCCTATAGAATATATTCTCTCTGAATGAATTACTCTTTCAGGCTTTGCCAAGTGGGAGTCTTAGTGAAAGGAAATTGAAGATTGTTTAAAAATCTCATATCAATGATTTGTTTTATTTTTATTTTTTCAACTTCTATCCAAACAAAGACTTGATGAATATTTTTTGAGGGATTTGAATTCTAAACATCTCTTTGAAAGTTAATTTTTTAATACTGCACGAGCTGCAGCTCATTTGCACTAAGTACTGTTTTGTAGTATGTAAATACAAGGAAGGATATTCCAATAAAATATCACACTTACACAGATACGGTTGAGCCAGATACTGTGCCAAAGAGGCCATCCAGCAAAATTCCAATTCCCTGGGTTTCATCCATGTATATAAATATTTAGTTTCAGAATCCATTAATGTTTCTAACTAAAGTTTCATACAATGAGAGAGAAATTCTTCACCTGCCATCCGATGCCACGGCTAAGAACATGAGCTGGTGGTGGTGTTGCACTTGCTAGCCTAGCTGCAGCCTTATATGCTCCAGTTGACTGAGATAGCATAAATCAACTCATGTGTTTATTTGGATTGAATACAAATGAAGGAAATAAAACACAGCCAGAATGTACATGTTTAAATTCTTTATATTTCATTTTACTTCACAAATAAACTACCAAGTATCCAAGAGTTTACTTTGCTTTTTGATTGAGATAGCATAACGAAAATCCTTTTATGTTTTCTGTTTTGGTTTGAACAGTAACTTTTCTATGTTTAATGCAAATTTCAAAGATGCTACTTTCATCTTCAGAGTTCATTTGGGCACAAATCCACTATTAAGCATGCAGGTGCTTCGGTTACACTTTTCTTTGCAATGAACCAAAGGGCCTCTCTCTCTTGGCCTTATTCATAAAAATAGGGGACAATACAAAAGGTAAGAGGAACCTTTTTGTGTTTAATACAAACTCAAAGATGCTTCTTTCACCATTAGAGTTCATTTTAGTCACAAATCCACAATAAAGCATTCAGGAGCTTAGTTTACACCTTTTTTTGCATCAAGTCTTATTCATTAAAATAGGGGACAATACAAAGTGCAAGAAGGATTATAAATATGTTTGTTATTACCTCAACAAGTGAAACAAAAACAGCAGCCATCATGCCAAATGCATGGCCAGCATCAAAAGTAGGAGCCCCCCATTGAAGTGGGTATGGAACTTTTATCCTTTGAGAAGCAATCAATAAGATTTTTGAGCCATAACCGAGTGAAAGAGAGGTAGACTTAGATGAAGAAGACAAACCATGGTGCAGAAGAGATAAGGTTAGCTCGATCCGTGCGACAATTGAACTGAGTTTTCACTGGTCTGTACTTGTAGGCTCCACTCACCGTCAGAATATGAGCATAGAGCCAAAGGATGGCAATTGATATCAGCAATGCAAATCGCTCCAGCAACGGTAATCGTCTCACACTTAAATGCTTCAGATACTAATGGAGGGAGGATGAAAAGAAAATGTGGAAGGGACCTATTTATTAGAATTATGAAAAAGAAATCATAATTTCTATTTTTTTTTTTTTCAATTAGCAAGAGCAGAGTACCTGTGATAATGCGACGAAAAGGATGAGCATGGGAACTCCAATCTCTACGCATCTCCCAACCTGAGATGCAAGAAATACTGTATGGGATCAGTTCTGATCCGCTTAAAGGGTGTATTGTTTTAGCAATCAGTTCTGAAATAGGAACTCATGAAAAAGGTTAGTCATTTGGTTTGCAGTAATGATCAAGAATAATGGCGCTCTATATTGCTGACAAAGATAAGAGGAAAAGATACTATAGGAATATTTAGCATTTAATTGAAGGAGGATATCTATATTGTAGAGAATCTCTGATAAGTTATGGCACATATTCCACTTTAATGCTCCATATTGGTTTAGTTCTCAATTAAAAATTTCTTATCAAAGTAATTATAGCTACCACAGGACTAAATTGGATAAGAAGTTATTTTTGAGAAAATTTCATAAATTTATCATGCTAGCATTGGAAACTTCATAAATGAAACAAAGGCTGGCCTAAAATTCTGTTTTGATGATCGTTTAGTCAGTTGCATATGTGAGTTACTGAAAGAGAGCTGCCTCTGACAAGATACAATTGTTTCCTTAGCATATAATTTTCATCATTATGAGTAATGCTTTGGTGTATAAAACACAGCACAAAAAAGTCTAAATTATTGCATGAATGTTTTCCCATAAGATTTCTTTTGGACTTTGAGTTGGGCGGCGAAATATTTTCCTATCATTATTAGGCGAGTAATTCCGTAGGCCTTAACTCATAGTCCAAAAGAGGTCGTGGGATAGATGGCATGGCTCATTTGGATTATGAGTTGAGCAGCAAAATATTTTACTTATTAGTCTTATCCCAACAATTTGGTTCAACTAGGAGTGTTAAAGAGTCGATTAGAGCTCGATCTACCACTGGTTTATGCTTGAACTTGACTAATTAATTAAATACGAGCTCAATTCTATGAGTTTGAATCGGCTCATTAATTATGAAACAAACAATACGATTTTGTTATAATAAAGTCATAAATATAATGATGAATTAGATGAGAATTAATAAGAAAATATACAAATATAGTTTTTAAATATTTTTAACAACTTTGTACTTAAACTCTTGAATTATAATATATTTTAAATATATTTTAAATTAGCATTTTAACTAGCCAGCTCACGAGAGAGTCATTAGCTCGCAAAATCGAATAATATATTTACATGTTCATTATGTTAACATTTTCTAAACGAGCCGACTCACAAGCTTCATTGAACTGATCCTCTAGCCAGCTCACCTGTTAGTTTAACTCGTTTATATGCCTAGGTTCAACCTCATAAATCTCCATTCTAATTTTTTTTTTCTATTGAGTGATACATCAGACATTAAATAATTCTATTCAAAATTTTTTCATTCATAATCTACTTAGGCAGTAAACCATTTCACTACTAAATTTCATACAATAACTGAAAACTAAAGACAACTATAGCTTCTGTAATTTTATTTTGAAATAAAGTAGCAGCAAAACTTTACCACTGGAAAGCCTCTATAGAAAAGGCCAAAGCCCACCAGTGAGACCACAGGAACCATCCCCACAGGGCTGAAGAATCTGATGTCATAACCCCACAAGAAAAAGAGAGCCAGAAGTCATTATCGAATCATGAAAATATCACTTCAATCATCATCTAACAACTTATAGATCAATTAAATCAAATTTCTATGAATAAACTGAATGATTCAAATAATTTGGCTGCATTCTTGCTGTTGAGAAAATAGTACCTTGTACAGATTCCCCATAACTGGCTGTAGCCTAGAATGATCTGGATGCTTGAAGAAACAATGAGTGCCCCTTGAATAGCTCTCATGGTTTGCAAAAATCTCTGAAATTACAAATAAATTTAGCTTAAAAAGCTCCACAAAGATTAATTTGGTTTTATAATTAGTCTTTTAGTTCTTCAAACCTCACGGTCGTTAGCAATTTGGCTAAAGGATGAATCATGAATTATGGAGATAATAGGAATCAAGAATGCATATGATCCTCCAATTATGGTTGGAAGTCGAGTTCCGAAGAGGGTTTGGATCAATGTGTTGATCCCTCCTACAAATAGCAATGTTTGAACCACCCTCACCTTATCATCCTGCAACTCAAGAACCAAATGAGAAATAAGAGCTTCACATAAATGTCGAAATTAACAAATGAAAGATGCATCTGATGCTCATACGAGTAGAAGTCAAAAATAAAATTAAATAATCATCTGAAAATAGGACATGCATGACATGATTCGGAATTCTGATGGAATGAACAGAAATGAGAAGAAAATGCAAAAATCAGAGGATTCATTAAGGAGGAAAAACCAACTGGTAAGAAATCTATCTTTCCATGCATCAACAAGCAGAAATGTACGAAAAATGAGAATGATTTAGCAAAAAAGTTAAGTTTTGGAGCATAAAAATTTGGTAGAAAAAGAAATGAGAAAAGAATAAGCATCCTCACGTCACTTCCACCCATTAATGGAACTAGAAAAGTAGGAATCATGACCGCAGTCCCCAACGCCAGTATGTAATGCTGAAACCCTAGGGCAATCGCTTCACCTGGAAGCCCAATAGAACAATTAAATCACAAACAGCTTCGTAGCAGGCAAAAAAGATTAGGAAATATCTGGAACTTGGTTTAATTCGACATACCCCAGGATGGGTTGGAGTCTATGCAGTACTCGAAGCCCTGAAGCTGATCCATGGGCGGATGACTAATCTCCTCTGGCTTGATATCCGACATCTCTCAAAAAGGAAAGCCAGAAATCCAAACAGAGATGAAAAAAGGGGCGAATCAAGGAAAAATCGAAACTTTTTCCTCTGCTTGTTGTTGAACTCCTTCTCCAGAGACTAGGTATTTTAACATAAGAAGAAGAAAGATGGTGTTCAAGCTAAAAAACGAAGCTTTCTTCTTTACCCAACTCTTCTTATCTCTATTGCCTTAGTTCGTTTTTGTATACCCACAAGCTGAGGAGAAACCAGATGACGATGGAGTGCAAAATCGAAGCCTTTCTTCCTTTGCTATCTTCCTCTCTTTATTTCTTCACTGGGTTTAGTGTATCTCGAGATGATGGGAAGAATCCGGAAGGGATTGCCCAAAGGTTTTGATATAAATGCACCAAAGGCGAGATAAAAAGCGAGCGAGAGAGCGAGAGAGAGAGAGAGAGAGAGAGATGAAGGCTAGAGGGAGAGGGGAGAAAGGTGTTGCGGCTTGAAAACAGGGGAGGGTGAGAGAGAAAAAGGCAGTTGCCACCCACTTGAGAGCTTCTCCTTTATATGTTCTCTTTTTCTCCGGATCTTTCTCTCTTTCTCTCTCCTCCCTCTGTCTGGTTCTCCAAGCAGCGAACAATTATCCGTTGAGAAATCATATGACGAGAATACCCTTGTGCTTGAAAGTGAAAATGCGTGGAAAGTTACCGTTGGACGGCCAGGCAGGTGCTTGTTTTTATGAACTCCTGTTTCTCTTACCTGCGCATTTATAATGCAATAATAATAACAATAATTCAGTACAGCGTGGGATTCCTGTTCTTAGCTTGTTATTACTTTCTCTTTGTTTTTTTTTACTTTTCTACTGAGGGGAATATTGGAGGAATGCTTACCACAAATTTACAAATTTTTAAAGTATAATCTATATGACAAATTATATTAAAGATTATAGTGTATTGAAAGATACTTGTTGGTTTAAAATCAATCACATAAGCTTGATCATCTTAGTCTTAATGGCCTAATAATATTTGTCAAAATCGAGGATAAAAATCATTTGATATAGTGCGAATTCTATTTGAGTAATACAAGATAAATAAATATTTGACTCTATCATATAGTCATTAACATTGACATAATAAACTAACTAAATTACTATAATTATTTGATTGGATCAAGGGTGATAAACATAATATAAAGAAAGATATAAGAGTATTTCAAAGGAAAATAAATCTATACATAATAATAAATTAGAAAACAACAAAAGTCATTCATAGGTAATAACTAATTGATCATAGCAAATTCCACATGATAGAAGCTCAAATAATTATTATAGATAGAAGACTTTTGAGTCAATAAGTTTGACAAAATGCTAAAAGAAATGTTAAAGGACAATGCAATTAGGTTTTATCGACCTCCCACTCATTTTCATTTGTCTTGCATTGATCTGAACAACCATCGAGTGGCAAGAATAACATTCGTAAGTTACATAAATTCAATGATAAATGCTTAGCATATTATTAGTAGAATCATATGAAAAGCTATAGTATGGTTAATGATATAGTACAAACAAATAACACTTTATATATAAATATGTCATTGATGATCTTGTTAACTTATTATAAATCTAATCGATCAATAACGCCTAGTTGATCATTTGAACATGATGAGTTAAGCCCGTTTGCATTCACATCTTTAGTTATCTAGTCATATTATTGCTTTAACTATTACTTTAAAGGTTCATCATCCCCAATTTAAGATCACTAGCATGCACATCCTGCTCACAATGAAGATCACATGTCTCCATTTATTACAAATTTATTATCCCCAAAATTGTATAGTCCCATATTAGTGAAGTTCATAGAACAATCTCCATTCTCCTACTTCAATGATTTCATATTTAGTGTTTTATTCATCTTTTCATATAGTTCCATATTATTATGCTAAATTATAAAACATATTTAGGAAGAATTGAGGGAGTCATATCATATCATTTGTCTGCTTTTTTCATCATCATGTGTACAAAGGAAGAAGAGCTAAGAAATCAAAATAAACATATATAAAAAAAAAGTTATAAGCAAACACATCCTACTTAATGAACATTATAAGACACTATCAAAAAGATTATAATCTATTTGACCACTAATTCCACCAGTTGAATTTAAGTGCTACTTGATTGGCCTAAGCTAATTGATCGGCCACTCAGCCTAAAACTTAGGGCCACCTAGCCAACACCAACTTTATATCTGCCAACCTTAAGCTTGGTCAACCAATACTTGTAGTTCTAATGGACTATAAAACTAAGGAGGTTTTTGTAACTCCCCAAAATCTAAATTTGGAAGAATTATTCTTTTTATCTTTTAAAATTAATAACAAAGATATATATTTCTCTTTTATCAATATAAATACCGATAAAAATAAAAGTATCGATTAAAACATCAATATATAAATTTGTATTCATTCTAAAAAAAATCATATATACTATTTAGGATATATATAATCATATCATAATAACTCTATCATGAGTACAAAAGAATAACTAAAATAACAAGAACTTGATCATGAAGGATTCTGGTCAATCTCTTACTCTTGCTCCCTTATTCTGACCTGAAATAATTGAACCACATATAATAAGCTCAAGAACATAGCAAGTAACTAAATCCTATAACTGAACTCAAAGCACGAAAAAGAAGCAATATGCATGTCAGTAATTCAAATCAAAATATTAGTATTAATATGATTATAAATTAGGGATTTTTACATACATAACACTTAAAACTAATAAAAATACCTATTCAACACCTAAAATCAAATATTTACTTATATACCACCGCTTTCTCATTCTAACCATTCGCTATACCACTCCGTTAGCCGATCGTCAAAAAATCCCTATAAATTAATATATAAAAAATAAAACACACATATAATAGTAGTAGAATTTATAAACAGTTAAATAGTATGGTATGAAAGGCAGTAAAATAATACAAAAGGGAAACTGGTAAATCAGTACGGGTGTTCATAAATTTATTCATGTTTGCAGTATTTTTTGTTTAAAGGTTCATAAACAAACTTGTTTATAAGAATAATCATTTTATGAGTTTTTTTGTTTATGAACATAGTCGTTTGATAGATAAAAAGCACTCCCTATATATGTTCGTAAACATGCTCTAGATAAGGCTTGTTTGTTAGTAGGCTCGATAAGACTTGTTTATTAAAAACTCGATAAGCATAAACAAACCGAATATTAACCAATCATAATCCAAACATAAACATCTATTCTTTTAAATGAACCAAACTTGAACACAAACAAAAAAAGCTTGGATCATGCTCGAACCAAATTGAATAAGCTAATAATAAACAAGCTCAAACATGAACAAGCACCTACTCGGCTCGGCTTGGTTCATTTACAACCCTATTAATGCCATAGCACCGCTCAACCCAACGCCACAATGCTCAAGGGAATTTTTCATAGACTTTATATTACCGTTTTAAATTCCAAATATATCACTTAACACCGAAAAATAACATAAAATATGATTAATATTTTAATCTCAAACATGAATTCCCATTTACTTTATATCAACTAAATACAAGGTTGAAAATTACTGCAGAGGTGTTCGTTACGCATGATCTTACTTTGTTGCTTTTAAGAAATTAATTTGAGTTTTACTCTAAATCCTAATACATTTTCTGTGATAACAACAGCCGAGCTCGATGAGCTCATCAACTAAGATTGAGCCAATCTTGACTTGACTCGACTCGTTCGCTCACGAGCTGGTCACTCGTTTAGAAATATTATTATAAAATATATCTAAAGTAAATTAGAATTGAGTTTAAATAAAAAAACTAGTATAAATATTTAAAATTATATCTCACTTTTTTATATCAATTGATTATTGATTATTTATCATTATTTTATAATTTTATTATAATAATTGCATGAATCAAACTATTTTTCTCTCTTACATTATATATGAGGCAGCTCGAGTTCGAATTCAAACTTGATTTATTAATCAAGCTCAAGCTAGGAGTGAATCGAGCTCAGCACCCCAAAATTAGACTATCACCTATCTTTAAAAAAAATAAAAATTAGACTATGACTTTAATCCAAATAATTGAGAAAATTATTATGATTGTTTCATGGCCTCAACCTCCTGTCTAACTAATCTTATGAGATTAGTGTTCAGATGTCTTGATTGAAGGAATGGAGACTATGATGTTAGAATTATTCCTCATTCAAATCAAGAAGATTACTAACAAATCTCATTATGATATGGTATATCTTCTCATGCACAGCTCTACTATATCACTAAGCATGATAGGGATTCATCATATATATCATTAAGCACAGTAAGATTTAACATACACAGCTTTCTTACTGTTTTCTAAAGCAATTTTTTAATACAAAAATTTCAAATTAAAAAACGTTTTATAATATAAATCTGATTTAAAAAGCAGTAAGAAAGCCGCCCCAAATAAAATTTAAGCATATTAAATTTATAATAATAACCCATTGTGTCTATATCACTAAGCATATATTGGTTGATAATAATATTTAGGTTTCGTTTGGGATGACTTTCTTACTACTTCTTTTAAATGAATCAAACTTGAACACAAACAAAAAAGCTTGGATCAAGCTCGAACTAAATTTGAACAAGCTAATAATAAACAAGCTCAAACATGAACAAGCACCTACTCGGCTAGGCTTGGTTCATTTACAGCCCTATTAATGCCATAGCACCGCTCAACCCAACGCCACAATGCTCAAGGGAATTTTTCATAGACTTTATATTGCCGTTTTAAATTCCAAATATATCACTTAACACCGAAAAATAACATAAAATATGATTAATATTTTAATCTCAAACATGAATTTCCATTTACTTTATATCAACTAAATACAAGGTTGAAAATTACTGCAGAGGTGTTCGTTACGCATGATCTTACTTTGTTGCTTTTAAGAAATTAATTTGAGTTTTACTCTAAATCCTAATACATTTTCTGTGATAACAACAGCCGAGCTCGATGAGCTCATCAACT